AATAAAATCCTTTTTGAAAAGTGAAATAAAAAATTCTCGAAACAAATGAAAATGGAAACACAACACACCAAAATCTGTGGGATACTGTAAAAGCAGTTCTTAGTGAGAAGTTTATAGTGACAAATACATTTATTAAGAAAAAAGAATGATCTCAAATTATCAAGCTAACTTTATACCTCAAAGAACTAGAAAAAAAGGAAAAATTAAGCCCAAAATTAGCAGAAGGAAGAAAGTAACAGGATCAGTGAAGATATAAATGAAATAGAGATCATAAAAACAATGAAAAAGATCAAAATTAACACTGGCTTTTTTGAAAAGGTAAATAAAATTGGCAAGCCCTTAGCTAGACTAAGACAAAAAGAGTGAAAACTCAAAAAATCAGAAATGAAAGAGGAGACATTACACCTGAGCACAGAAATACATAGGATCATAAGAGACTGCAATGAATAATTACATGCAAACAAACTGGATAACCTAGAAGAAATAGATAAATTCCAAAAAACATACAACTTACCAAGACTGAATCATAAGGAAATGGAAAATCTGAATAGACTAATAATAAATGAGGATACTGAATTAGTAATCAAAACCTCCCAACACAGAAAAGGCCAGGACCAGATGGTTTTGATGAGGAATTCTACCAAATATTTAAAGAAAAGTTAATGCCAATCCTTCTCAAACTCTTCCAAAAAATTGAAGAGGATGGTACATTTCTAAACTCATTTTATGAGGCCAGCATTACCCTCCTACCAAAACTAGAATTGGATAATTCAAGAAAACTATACACCAATATCTCTTATGAATAAAGATGCAAATATTCTCAACAAAGTACTAGCAAACTGAATTCAACAATACACTAAAAGAATCACACACCATGATCAAGTGGGATTTATTCCTGGGATACAAAGATAGTTCAACAAATGTGATCAACAAATGTGATATCACATTAATAGAATGAAAGATAAAAAAAATCATATGATCATCTCAAAAGATGCAAGAAAAGCATTTGACTAAGCTCTACATCCTTTCATATGAAAAACCCCTCACTAATTGGGTAGAGAAGGGATATACCTCAACATAATAAAGGCCATATACAAGAAACCCACAGCTAACATCATACTAAATTGTGAAAGGTTGAAAGCTTTTCCTCTAAGATCAGGAACAAGGCAAAGGTGCCCATTTGCACCGCATAGTAATTGTAGTCCTAGCTAGAGCAATCAGGGAAGATAAAGAAATAGAAAGCATCCAAATAGATTCCTTCCTTCACGACCAGAGAAGGCTGGTCAAGAGTGGGAAGAGACTAGCCTCTAGAAAGGCCTTCCCCATCCTCAACTTTTCTTATCCCCCCCCCCAACAAAATATCAACCCTGCTGTATATATATATGTATATATATATATATATATATATGGAAAGGTGTGTACTGCCACCTAAATAATTGAATCATTTCCCAAAGGAAAGGGGACAGGAGAGCCTCTGTCTTTTGGCAACATCTCATCTCTTCCTTTTGCTTTTGCCTTTTCCTCCCTGCCCTTGGTTTCATCCTATTCTACACTTCAGATTTCTATTTTTGTGTTGAACTTGCTCCTTTTTTTCATATGGAAAAGATGACACTGCCCCAAGAGCCAGAAATAAATGGGATTGAAAACCATCCAAATAAGAAAGGAAAGCTAAATTACCTTCTTTTCAGATGACATGATCTTATATAGAGAAATCCTAAAGACAACCAAAAAACTGTTGGAACTAATCAACAAGTTCAGTGGAGTTTCAGAAAATAAATCAAAATACAAAAATTGTTTGTGTTTTTACACACAAACAATAAAATCACTGAAAAAGAAATAAAGAATGCAATCCCATTCACAATAGCATCACAAACAATCAAATACTTAGGAATAAATTTAATCAAGGAAGTGAAAGATCTGTACAATGAAAGCTATAAGATGCTAATGAAAGAAACTGAAGACACAAACAAATAGATATTCTGTGCCAATGTATTGAAAATAATTAATATTGTTAAAATGTCCATTCTGCTCAAAGCCATCTATAGATTCAATGTAATCTCTTTCAAAATTCCAAAAGCATTTTTCACCAAAAAAATTCCTAAAATCTGTATAAAACTGCAAAACACCCCAAATAGCCAATCCCAAGAAAAAAGAACAAAACTGGAGGTAATATCATATACACTTCGGATTTTCAAACTATACTACAAAGCTACAGTAATCAAAATAGTATGGTACTGACCTAAAAATTGACACATAGACCAAAGGAACAGAGAGTGCAGAAATAAACTCCCATATACACAGTCAACTAGCATTTGACAAGGGAGCCAAGAATATCCAATGGGGAAAGGACAGTCTCTTTAATAAATGGTTTTAAGAAAACTGGATAATCACATACAAGAAAACTAAATTGTATACCCATCTTACACCATTCACAAAAACTAACTCAAAACCAATTAAACATGAGACCTGAAACCATAAAACTCCTAGAGAAAATATAAGAAAAAAACTTCCTGACATTGGTCTTGTCAATGATTTTTTGGATATGACACCAAAAGCACAATAAACAAAAGCAAAAATCAAGTGAGACTACATCAAAAAAAGCCTCTGCACAGCAAAAGAAACAATCAACAAAATGAAAAGGTAACCTATGGAATGGAAGAAAATATTTACAAGCCACATGACTGATAAGGGGTAAATAATCTAAATATATAAATAACTCACACAGCTCAGTAACAAAAAAAATAATCCAATTAAAATATAGGCAAAGGAATGAAATACATATTTTTCCAAAGAACACATACAAATAGCCAACAGGTACATGAAAAGATTCTTAACATCATTAATCATCAGGAAAATGGAGATCAAAACCACAATGTGATATCACTTCACACCTGTTTCAATGGCTATTATCAAGAAGACAATAGATAACAATTGTGGGTAAGGATGTGAAGAAAAGGTAACCCGTGTGCACTGTTGATGGGGATGTAAATTGGTATAACCACTATGGAAAATAGTATGAGAGTTCCTCAAAAAAAATAAAAATAGCTCTACTATATGATCCAGCAATTCCACTTCTAAACATATATCAAAAGGAAATGAAAATAGGATCTCCAAAAGATATCTGCACTCCCTATATTCATAATAGCCAAGTTATAGAAACAACCTAACCCTCTGTCAATGGATGAATGAATAAACAAGATGCGATGTGTGTATACACACACACACAATGGATTAGCATTCCGCTATGAGAGAGAAGGACATTCTGCCATTTGTGACAACATAGATGGGCATTGAGAACATTATGCTAAATGAAACAAGTCAGCAAAAAATAAATATGGTATATCATTTATATGTGTGAATCTAAAAAAGCAAAAACTCATAGACGCAAAGAGTAGAATGGTGGTTACCAGGAGCTGGAGGGTGGGGACACTGGGGAGATGTTGGTCAAAGTGTATAAACTTGTAGGGAAAAAAATGAAAAGAGAAACAGTAAAAATGATTACTTGGTGAAGGGGGGAGGAATCCACTTTATGCTGCACTTCAGCACTTTTGTAAGGCCCAAATTTTTCTATCATGTTGTAGGTATTATGTGAAATATTTTAATGCACTGAAATAGAATATACTATGCATAAATATTTAATGTGTTTGTCCTATATTTTAGTAGCTTTTTGTCACACAAAAAGCCAACTTTGCATTACTAATGTGAAGTCTTACAAGCCATAACCACTTACTTAGTGAATGAATCAACAAATCATTCCTAAGTATGACTTAGTACCTTAAAGGGAACGCCTATGCCATTTGAAGATGAAAATGTTCCTGATGACAATCACCACTAACACACTGAAAACCCTTAACTCTGATTTTTTTTTATTTGGGGTGCTTTATGTGCTCCTCTGTTCCCAAATGAGGACAAGAATTACTTGTTGAGAGCAAGAGTCATCCACTACCACTGCTTGCATTCAGCAGAGACTCAAAGGCAGGTAGGTAGAGGAGTGGGAAAGCTTTATGGTGACAAAAAGGGAAGGTCCATCCTGATGGCAGGTTGTTGGAAGCTGGAGGCACTGATAAGAAAAGATCTACCCCAAACACCTTAAATCCTAAATTAATAGTGATAATAGAGGAACAGTAAAATACTAATCTGAATATTACAAAGTAATTACCAAAGCCTAAGTATAATCTAAAATTATTTAGTCTGTAGTTTATTCAATATTATATGATACTGGATTCCAAGGCATACCTTTGAAGAAAAAACTTTATTGATATTATTAGCTAAATAAAAGGCTTATTGCATTATTTTAATTCATAAAAATCTATTGTTCTTATAGAATTACTACTACGAAAAATATTATAATTGTAAGTATTTTAATTTGTAAATAAATATCAGATATTTTAGAACTCAAAACTATGTACTTTGTACGAAAACTCATTACCTCAGCTAGACTTTCATGCAATTATCATAACAAGAAACTAAACCCCTTACAGGTTTTACGTGCTTTTCTTTCTTCCTCATTTTTGATCTCTGACCACACATTTAAATACCATTTTTCTTTCATCATTACAGAAATGTTTAACTATCAGCCTGATTGCAAAGCAAAGGTACTCAGATATAAGGAGATTCTTAAATGGGCCATAATTCTTCCCATTCTACTTTTAAAGAAAAGTTTAAAGTTATACTATGAAAAAAGAAATAAGGGATGACATAGGAGTTACTTCTTTTGGATAGACTAAGCAGAAAACTGAGTAGGTGAGTACACATGCCTGTGATTAAGTTGAGGTAGGTGGCAGACTGATTCACTGAGTTGTCTCTGCCACCAATAAGCATATGTCCCTCACATATTAGTAACATTTGAGGACCTCCATTTTTATCTATAAACCAAGGGCCTTGGAATATATAACCTCTAAATTCCTCTTCCAGTAAAATAATGATACCATATGAGTTCACGGATCTGAAGATCTGAGAGTTAAGTATGAATTAATGGAAACAAGAACAAAAAGTCATACCTTTGTATTAGCTTTTATCTTTGTTTTACATTTGTTTTTTTCCCTGGCTTCACGAAGACCTTTCTGAGTAGGACCTTCTGGTGCATTTTCCTTTTCAGAATTAGGAACAACTACAAGATAACACAATTTATTCTTAGTATCTATTCTGTTTCTCCACAATAAATATAATTTTAACCAAATATACGAAAGCCAAAGTCATAATGATACATGTATTTTTTAAAGTATTAAACTAATAATATTAAAATACCACCAAAATGTTTAAAGTGAGCTGTCAAATTCATTTCCCCAAAATTCGGAGTGTCATGACTGCAAGGTCATGACAAGTGAAATGGCATGATGAGCCAGTTAGAGATCATAGGAGCCAATCTCCAATTACATTATATCCAATTCCTGTCATGAGGCTTAATGTGTATACAAGTAAAGTTGAAAAGGGTCAAGGAGAGAATGGTAAGCAATGACAAAATTTCCCAAGTGGAACTGGATAATAAATAACAGATTTTTAAAAGAATATTGTATTAATAAAATATTATTCTTTATGCTTCTCAATGTTGGAAAAAACAGAAAGGAAAACATTGGGTAATACTCCAATGTAGTTGTAACATTAGTCTCCAAACTCTCCTGGACATAAAGAACAGTCCTACTAAAACCACCTGAGGGAAAAACAAAAGTGACAGGGAAAGTCTCTTTCTTTTACACATCCTTCCATATACATATACCTACTTAAGTATACATAATTTCCCCCTTTATTTCTAAAGAGGAAACTAATTGCAAATAACTAATAAAGTTATAATCATTAACTCTTAAATAAAAGAAATAACTAAATGTTCTAAATATAACACTAGATTTATAACAGAGAAAAGATAAACACAAAAATATCTGGATGAGTCCAGGTTCTCAAAGAATTCTGAGGTAATAAAGGCAAGGAAGCACATAGCTGGCATTCTTTCTGATCTGACTTTTCCTATTCAGTACCAGTTTCAGAAAAAGGAGACAATCTCCAAAATAACATTGACAATAACATAAAAACAGAATATTGAATAACACAGTTCTAGATGAAAGTACTTAAAAGACTTCAAACACTTGGGTATCCAGACTGCCTATCCTCCCTGAATGGTGCTAAAAGTTAGAGCCCCACAGCATCTGGGAAGTCAAAGTGTGGGGGAAAGACAACAATTACAGCTCCCTGACATTAAGGAAAAATTTTCACTTCCAGTTCTCTTTTATTATATTCTCCTTTTCAACAACCAACAGTGACATCCTGATAATGATAATAATTTAAAATAATAATAATGAGCATTCATGCCTCATTGACTTTTTACTACATAACAGCCACTGGTCTAAACAATTTGCATTTATAATTTCACAAAATCCTGTCGATAACTCTGTCAAGGTAACTACCTTTTGTTCCCCTTTATATATGAGAAGGATATATATAGTAATATCTATAGGGAAGTAATAGAAAGCAGTAGAGAAACCCAGGATTCCAGCAGGTAATTCTAAGAACATGAGCATATCTCACGTAGCATGCAAAACATGACTAAGCATCACTTCATAAGAGAATAAAGTAAAAATGAAGAAGCAAACAAACAAAATGTTAAGGATAACAAATGAAAGTCAAAAACCAAAAAGGCTTTGGTTTATAAGTATATGTAGTTTTTCCACAACAAAATGAAATTACAAAAGTTCACACTTAATCATGTTTAGGAAAATATTCAACACTTGTAACCAAAACATGAGAAGAAACATTGCAGAATACATGTGGAATTAGCAGAGAAATAACACTTCTCAATTATTTCTCGGCGTACCAAGAACAAACATGATTTCCACTCTCCATCAGATAAACATCACTTTCACTTGCACAAAGATTTGCAGAATAAGAGGCTCAGACATAGGGGCGCCTGGGTGGCTCAGATGTTTAAGCGTCTGCCTTCAGCTCAGGTCATGATCCCAGGGTACTGAAATCGAGCCCCGCATTGGGCTCCTGGATCGGCGGGGAGCCTGCTTCTCCCTCTCCCTCTGCCTCTCCCCCTGCTCATGCTTCTCTCTCTCTGTATCTCTGTGTCTCAAATGAATAAATAAAATCTTTAAAAAAAAAAAAAAAGAGGCTCAGACATAAAAGTCTATCACATTCATGGTTAAGTGCATATAATTCTCAAATTCCACATAGTGCTTCTTAATGTTTAGTAATATCCTAGCAAATTCCATGTCTCTATCATAGTATCTTTATGTTTATCACACCCAATGCTTATTAATGACAGGCCTGTATTACTGATTAGTGCTGTGCAATTTCCCAGATTTTACTCGGGCACAATCAACATCTTAAGAAAAGTATAATTTCTTAAGATAAATGAAGTAAACATCAAACAAACACATCTTCACTTTAGAAATTTTGTTTATTGTACCCCCAGTGCTATATTTCATCCTTCAACAATTCCTTTATGTATGCACACATTCATTCAATCAATGTTAACTGAGTATGTTCAGGCCCCTCATTAAACATCAAAAGTGAACGAATACAGAATAGGGGAAGGGTGGGAAAACTGAGTGGGAAGAAATCAGAGAGGGAGACAAACCATGAGACTCTTGACTCTGGGGAAACAAACTGAGGGTTGCAGATAGGGAGGAGGGTGGGGCGATGGGGCAACTGAGTGATGGGCATTAGCACTGGGTGTTATGTGCAGCTGATGAATCGCTGAACACTACATCAAAAGCTAATGATGTACTATATGTTGGCTAACTGAACATAATAACAAAGAAAAAAAGAAAAGAAATAATTAATAAAATAAAAAATAAAAAAAATTTTAAAAATGCATCAAGAGGTGTGTGCACCTTATCTCAGCTGGTCCGCCCGAGACCCCCTGAGCGCCAACCCTATTCCCCCATGTGGTCCCATTTCCGCTCCAACAAGATGAAAGAAACTATCATGAACCAGGAGAAACTCGCCAAACTGCAAGCACAAGTGCGCATTGGTGGGAAAGGAACTGCTCACCTAAAGAAGAAGGTGGTTCATAGAATGGCTACAGCAGATGATAAAAAACTTCAGTTCTCCTTAAAGAAGTTAGGGGTAAACAATATCTCTGGTATTGAAGAAGTGAATATGTTCACAAACCAAGGAACAGTGATCCACTTTAACAACCCCAAAGTTCAGGCATCACTGGCAGTGAACACTTTCACCATTCCAGGCCATGCTGAGACAAAGCAGCTGACAGAAATGCTACCCAGTATCTTAAACCAACTTGGTGCAGACAGTCTGACTAGTTTAAGAAGACTGGCTGAAGCTCTGCCCAAATAATCTGTGGATGGAAAAGCACCACTTGCTACCGGAGAGGAGGATGATGATGAAGTTCCAGATTTTGTGGAGAATTTTGATGAAGCTTCCAAGAATGAAGCAAACTGAACTGAGTCAACTTCTGAAGAACATAAAACTTGAAGAAGTTACTGGGAGCTGCTACTTTATATTATGACTGCTTTTTAAAATTTTGTTCATGGATCTGATAAAATCTAGATCTCTAATATTTTTAAGCCCGAGCCCCTTGGACACTGCAGCTCTTTTCAGTTTTTGCTTATACACAATTCCTTCTTTGCAGCTAATTAAGCTGAAGAAGCCTGGGAATAAAGTTTGAAACAAGGTTAATAAAGTTCTTTGCCTAGGGAAAAAAAAATGCATCAAAAAAAAGACAACAATTTTCCCTTTCACCACTCTTATTCAACGGTGTATTGGAAGTTCTACCTAGTACAATAAGACAAGAAAAAGAAATAGACATACAGATTAGAAAAGAATAAATAATAACTGCCTTTATTCATAAGTGACATGATTGTATAGAAAACACAAAATAATCAGGAACTATCTCCTGAAACTTACAGTAAGTATTGTGAAATCACAGATATAAGATCAATAAACTGTAGTCAATTGTTTTCTTATATGCCAGTGATGAATATTAGATACTGAAATTTAAAAGACAATAAACTTATAATAACATCAAAATAAATTAAATATTTACATATACATCCAAGAAATATGTACAGGATCTGTAAGTGAAAAACTACAAAAAACTAATAAAGGAAGTCAAAGCAGATCCAAATAAATGGAGATATATTTTGTGCCCATGGATTTGAAGACTCAATATCATTAGTGTCAATTCTTCCAAACCTTATTTTCAGATCTCCAATAAATATCCCTATTTTGTATATATCAAATAAATAAATAAAAATGCATGAATATATTCATTTAACAAAATAAATACGTAAGGACCTACATTGTGCCAGTCACTAACTCACTTACAGATTAAACCCAACTGAAAAGAGAATTATTTAACTGAAAAAAAGGTTTTGAAGAAATTATCCACAATCTGGCTCAGAGAGCTAAACAGAAAACATCTAAGCGATTAGGACACACGTAAGCTAAAATAAGGAGATCAAGCACATATCTAATTGTAATTCAGAAAAAGGCAAATCGAGGTAAAGGGGAAGAGGCTTTACTTTAAATTTACTGTATTTTTACTTTAATTTTACTTTCTAATCTAGGCCATATATTCCATATAGTCATATGAAATTGGTACCATAATGCAATTCTGAGCGGCAACAAAATATCCAACTTAAAAAGCAGCAATTTATTAAGCTAAGAACCTTATGGAATATTTTGCTTTACTCCAAATGACACCTTTTTCCTCTATGAACCTCTGAAGTCAGCTTTTATAGTTGTTTTTCACTTCATCTAACATTTCCAATTTCTAGCTGTTCATCCTGAATTCATAATTTCTTATCATAAGTTATAAGATATATTAAAATACAATTATATGTATCTTTATAACCTACTTTGGAAATAGGCATTATTGCATTCAAATTGCAAACTTATAGGAAAGCAAAGTAATATAAGTTAACCAACACAAACATATCAAAATCAGCATATTCATAAACTTTTTTGAAATTAAGTAATTTGTACAAAAACTGCTTTTATCTCATAATATATAATATTAATGTGCTTTCTGTATAGTTTCTTATAAATATTTGATATATATTATGTTTCATAACAACAAAGAAAAATAGTACAGAATTGTCTCTTCAAATATCTAATCAATAATAATTCACTCTTTCATAGTTTCTCCTAGGAATTTTTCTATTATTCTACATATCATGTAAGAATAAATGTAGAATTAAAAACCATTTTCAGGTAAAAAAAGTTCAGTACTGTAGTATTAATAATATTCTCTCTGGGTAGTACAACTATGGATAATTTTAAAAATAAAGTTTGTCAGTTTTAAAATTTCTAAAATAGGCATATCACTTTTATAATCAAAAAATATGGTATATTTAAAATAACTAGATTACTCCAAATCAGTTCAATTTTTGTCTTATCCCTAAATTTGGATTGAATAACAATTAATTTGTCTTCTTCCCAAAGTTCAGAGTAAATGATGATCAATTCATTGTTCCCTAAGTACAGAGTGAATAATATTTAATTTTAAGAATCTCTACTGCCATACCAACCTTTGCCCAAAATAAATGGGTAGACTTTTATATGGATGACAGGTATAAAAAGTTTTTAAAAATTAAACTAAAATGAGCAAAAGGAGGGGGACTTAATTCATATTATGAAGGATGACAGTATTTATGAGAGACAGCCAGTTAACCAATAAATCAACTTCTCTTCAAATTAGAGTTCCTGGCTAAGTATGGTTCCAAGTTGATCAGGCAGTCAGAGAGATGAGAATCTGACATGACACAGCCAAATGCTAAAACCAGAAGCTTGGGAAAAGGTACTGCAAGTCCCATACCTAACACCAGAATGCATGTTTATAAAGATCATAAAATTATTCAGTACAGAATTTAAGGAATTAATTTTATTCAGGTAGTTGGGATTCTGCAATTAAAAGAATCTACTTCTTCATGTTGGGTTGAAATTTATTCCTTTTGACCAAAAGCCACTTCAAAACATCACAGATCTTTCCCTTTTTTCTTATCTCTTCTTCAGACTAGGTTTTAATTAATGTCTCTTAAATTCACTGACATGCCTGTCATCTCCAATCTGTTGTGAACTATAAAATTTTCATTTAAGCTACCATATTTCTCAGTACTAGAATTTCAATTTCCTTTTTTTTTGTTTCTATGTATCTGCTAAGATTCCCTATCTCCTCAATTAATGTCCTATTTTTCTTTAAGTCCTTGATCATATTCAAAATAGCTGCTTTAGCATTTTTATCTGCAAAATCCAACACCTGGGCCATCTCAGTGTAGGTTTCCATTTATTGAGTTTTGTCTTGATTGTGGATCACCTTTTCCTGTTTCTATAACGTATAGAAAATTTTAATTACATACTATGCAGTATAGATAATAGATTATAAAGACTCTGGCCAACTGCCTTCCTTTAAAGGGTAGTGATTTTTATTCTAGCAGGCAGTTTAATTTTTTGATGATCACCTTGAAATTCTAGGCTTAATTTTATGCTTTATTAAGGTGGATCCATGCAAAGCTCTAAATTTTTCCCAAGGCTCTCTAACTTGGCAAGATTCAAACTCCAAATTCTGTCTTCCCTAGAAATTCTATGTAAGCTTTGTTTTTTGGTTTTATAGGGCAGTACAAGTGTTATGTTAATATGATTATATTAAATGTTAGTAGGTGTTACCAAGATGTTAATGAGGTCTCTCCATTCCAGGCATGGCAATGTCTCCCATCTCTGTTTGACTTCTAGAATCCTTGTTCCTCTCTGAGCCCTATAAAGTCTTCTCTTTCTGGTAAGTCTCTGGTAGTCTATGTGTACAGCCTGGCTATCAACTAAGGACTCCTAGTAAACGCCCTCACAAACTGAACCACTGCTCATTGCAGCACCCTTTTATCTAGTGCAATTTCCTACAGATTCTAGTTGCTTTGACAGCTGTCAACTATGATCTTTGCCCTTTCACAGTTCATCAGGACTGGCAAGCTCTTCTTGACCTCCATTTCCATGGAATTTGGTTTGGAAATTTCCGCAGGCACAAAGCCATGGTGATGGTGGATCTCAACTTTAAAATTTTCCTTCTATCACTTACCTTCTGTGACTTGTGCTATTTTCCAATGCCTAAAAGTAGCTGCCTTACAGATAGTTTTAAGAGTTTTTTACTGAAAGAAGGTTAGTCTGGTACCAGATACTCCATCATGGCCAGAAACAGAAGTCCTCCCATCATAGTTTACTCATATTTTTCTCTAAAATTAATCTATACAGTACTGTATCTATACTCCCTCTTGATCTTTTCATTAGCATTTTAATTTATAAAATAGTCATCATATCATTTATTCACTTTTAAGTATCTCTAGCATTTGGAGCTCTGATAAAATTTAAAACTCGCCAGCTAATATTAAATTAGTTTAATCACATTTTACTTTTACCTCTAATTTCAGAAGCATGATAATTATGCCCTATTTCCATATGCTTCAGTGTTGCTTGAAGCCCAGAAATCTAAAAAATAAAATCAAAAGACATGGGATTATATACAAAATGACCCAAAAAGGATTGAATAAAATGCAATGTTTAAGTATCAACTGCAAGATATAAAAACATTAACCTCTTGAATTAATTCCTATATATTAAAAAAATTTTAAACATGAACTGTAACAAAAGAAAAACATAATTTTAAGTTTAAATTCAATTCCATGGGGAATTATTAGGTATCCATTATAAATAAGCATCTGAAACATTTATTCCACAGCATCATTTCCTGAAGCAAGAATACTTATTGTACACTTTGAATGATAATTATTCAGTATTCTACTTTGAGAGAAGTTTCTCCTCTGTTGAAATTACTTCACAACAACTTAATTCATCTTTCTGTTTATAAAAGATGAGGAAGTATTAGCTGGGAAGTAAAATATGAAGAGACTGTTGTTTTTCCTGAAACTCTTAGCTCATTTTCCGCCCATGGACACTCCTTGTTTTATTAAACATGTTTTATAATTAAGAACATTTGTTAGTTTGGTGGCATATCATTTACCTATATTTCCTGAACAATAGACTTGAATTAAAAACTCAACCTTAAAGAGTTCTCTCATCCCTCATTGTATGTGATTATACCAACACAAAAAAAAATCTGTTTAATTATATATGGATATACACATCTTTCCTTCTATCACTGAGTAGTAACATTCCTTTATTAATAGAAAATAGCAGATAATAAATTGTAACCTATAGATTAGTGCTCATGAAATGCCTGACTGGAAAAAAAAGTAAAAAATGTATATCTATTCTTAGATGCCAAAATGGATTATAAAAATTTTAAATGCACTTACTTAGAATAGTGTAAGGTCGACATAAAAGTTGCAATGTAATACAGAGTTCTTGTGTACCACCACCTTATTCCCACTGCTAACATCATGCATTACCATAGTGCATTTGACACGAGTAATGAGACAATATTGATACATTATTATTAACAAAGTCCATATTGCATTCTAATTTCATTAAGGTTTTTTTTTTTAAGATTTTATTTATTTATTTATTTATTCATTCATTCATTCATTCATTTGAGAGCGAGAATACAAGTGGGGGGGGAAGGAGGACAAGCAGAGTCGGTGCTGAGCATGGAGCCCGATGTGGGGCTCTATCTCATCACCCTGAGATCATGACCTGAGCCGAAATCAAGAGTTGGATGCTGGGGCGCCTGGGTGGCTCAGTTGGTTAAGCATCTGCCTTCGGCTCAGGTCCTGATCCCAGGGTCCTGGGATCAAGCTCCGCATCTGGCTCCCTGCTCTGTGGGAAGCCTGCTTCTCCCTCTCCCACTCCCCCTGCTTGTGTTCCCTCTCTCGCTGTGTCTCTCTCTGTCAAATAAATAAAATCTTAAAAAAAAAAAAAAATCAGATGCTTAACTGATTGAGCCACCCAGAGTCCCCAAGATTTTTCTAATATACTTTTTCTGTTCCAAGATCCCATCCAGGATACCTTATACATTTAGTCATCATGTCTTCTTTTTATTATTCTGATTATTTTATTTAAATTCAATTAATTAACATATAGTGTATTATTAGTTTCAGAGGTAGAGTTCAGTGATTCACCACTTGTATGTAACACCCAGTGCTCATTACATCATGTGCCCTCCTTAATGCCTATCACCCAGTTATCCCATCCCCACACCCCTCTCCCCTCCAGCAACCCTCAGTTTGTTTCCTAAGGTGATTAAGGGTCTCTTATGGTTTGTTTCCCTCTCTGATTTTTCTTGTTTTATTTTTCCCTCCCGTCCCCTATGCTCCTCTGTTTTGTTTCTTAAACTCTACATATGAATGAAATCATATGGTAAAGTCCCCCAATAGCCAAAGGAATGTTGAAAAAGAAAGCTAAAACTTGTGGCATCACAATTCCAGACTTGAGGCTCTATTACAAAGCTGTAATCATCAAGACAGTATGGTACTGGCACAAAAACAGACACTTATCAATGGAACAGAATAGAGAACCCAGAAATAGACCCTCAACTCTATGGTCAACTAATCTTCGACAAAGCAGGAAAGAATATCCAATGGAAAAAAAGACAGTCTCTTCAACAAACAATGTTGGGAAAATTGGACAGCCACATGCAGAAGAATGAAACTGGACCATTTTCTTACACCATACACAAAAATAGACTCAAAATGGATAAAAGACCTAAATATGAGAGTTACGGTTTTGAGGAGGAAGACCACAGAGTAGAAGTGTCATTAATAGCTCATCAAGGGTATTTATCAACATGATTAAAGATTGATGATAACCCTGATCACTTTCCTGAAGTAGTATTTGCCAGGTTTCTCTACTGTAAAATTACCCTTTCCCCCATTTCCACTGTACTTGTGGAAGCAAATCATTTAGTATAGCCAACAATGAACAACTGGAGTGTTAAGCTCCACCTTTTTGAGGGAAAGATTATCTACATATGTCATTTGAGATTCTTCTTTGAGAGAAATATTTTTATTTTCCTCCATTTACATACTCATTCACTTATTTATATCATTATGAACACATAGATATTTATTTTATACTTTGGGTTATAATCCCATACTATATTATTAATTTCTTGCTCAAATTTTTCAAAATTTGAGCACTCGGAGCTGTTTCAGGATGATTCCTGTAATCAGTATGACTCCATTTGTTGATGTTTGGCTGCTAACAGTTTTTAAGCCTTACTTCCTGCTTCCCTGAGCAAGAGGCTATGAAAGACTGGATGCTCCCTCCTTCGCCACTGGTGGGAGATTCAAACCATATAAGGCCCTCCTCCCACACAGGGACTCTCATCCTGCTCCCAAACCCTAAACACAACAAAAACCCCAAACCAGTCTCCTTCCTTAGCTCTCTCAAGACATTTCTGACCTGCATGTAAGGCATGGGCTGCTCTCCCCACAGAGCTCAATTATATAATGTAAGTGTTTGCATACCTTTTTGCTGTGTGTATAGCACCATCAGTCTCAACAGCCAAACCAAATTTGGTTGTTAGTCCATTTAGGAAGTGCCCTCGACAGTTCCTTTGTCCCTTGACATACCCTAATGTTTTGTTCAGTCCCCTCCCCCTTCCCTTTTCTCTCTCTCTCTCTCTCTTTCTTTTACTGAGTATCTCCTAACATTCTAGTGCAACAAGATGGGACAAATGTTCCAGGTTCATTTTGTATTTCCTGCCCAGCCTATAATCAGCCACTTCTCCAAGGAGCCCTAACTTCCTTTTATTGGAGAATGGTATTAGAAACAGGTATCTATGCACCGGATATACTCATTTGCTATTGGAGTGTCATTATTTCTAGATTCTCTCAGCAGGCAGATTAGAAAATATATACATTTATTTTTTAGAATACCTCCTGAATTAGAGACCATGATCCAAAAAAAGATAAAATGTAACTTATTTTATACATACACACACACACACACACACACACACACTAACAAATTATATATCTTTCCAATCATAGGGCTGTAATTCAGAATTTTGAACATTTTCAGTGATTTTGTAAAACAAAACAAATTATAGGTTTTTCTATAAGATTTAAATAAATTTGAAAGTTGCTATACAATTACCTACCAAAAGAATTTGAAAACACATACTTCTTTTAGATTTTTGTCATCTTACAGTATACTTTCCCTTTTATATACAAACTAAGTATCATAAAAAAATTCTAAATCCTAACCTTTCTTCTTGCAAGACATTAGAGAGATCTATATGTTTAAAGAGAAAGATAGTGAGCTAAATATTCAAGATAAGGTTTTTAAAGAAATGATTAGGAATACAGGTAAAAATTATAAGATACTTCCTACTGCCCCAAGATCATACTCCAAAAGTTTTGGTTAGAAGTGACTTCTCAGAGGGGTGCCTGGGTGGTTCAGCCGGTTGAGCCCCTGGCTCAGGTCGTGGTCTCAGGGTCATGAGACTGAGCCCCATGTAGAGCCCATGCTCAGTGGGGAGTGTGCTTGAGATTCTCTCTCTCCCTTTCCCTTTACCCTTCCCCCACTTCTCTAAAATAAATAAATTAAAAAAAAAAAGAAGTGACTTCTCAGAGCATCACTGAAATAAAGCAGACACTGAAATAAAGATATAGTCAAAAAATAAGCATAAAAGTTGATGTATCTTCCATGTTAGATCATAGAGGAACTCTGCATATATTTTAATATAGCTTCACTTTTAAAAATTTTTTTTATTTTTTTTTTACTTGGTAATGCCTTTTTTTTTTTTAATTTTATTATGTTATGTTAGTCACCATACAATACATCATTGGTTTTTGATGTGGTGATCCACGATCCATTGTTTTCATATAACACCCAGTGCTCCCTCCTTAATACCCATCACCGGGCTAACCAATCCCCCCTCCCCCCTCCCCTATAAAACCCTGTTTGTTTCTCAGAGTCCATAGTGTCTCATGGTTCATCTCTCCCTCCAGGTCCCCCCTCCCATTTTTTCCTTCCTTCTCCTAGTGTCCTCCATGCTATTCCTTATGTTCCACAAATAAGTGAAACCATATGATAATTGACTTTCTCTGCTTATTTCACTTAGCATAATCTCCTCCAGTCCCATCCATGTTGATGTAAAAGTTGGGTATTCATCCTTTCTGATGGCTGAGTAATATTCCATTGTAATATGGACCACATCTTCTTTATCTATTCATCTGTTTAAGGGCATCTCGGCTCTTTCCAGAGTTTGGCTATTGCGGACATTGCTGCTATGAACATTGGGGTGCATATGGCCCTTCTTTTCACTACATCTGTGTCTTTGGGGTAAATACCCAGGCGTGCAATTGCTGGGTCATAGGGTGCCTCTATTTTTAATTTTTTGAGGCACCTACACAGTGTTTTCCAAAGTGGCTGTACCAACTTGCATTCCCACCAACAGTGTAAGAGAGTTCCCCTTTCTCCACAACCTCTCCAACATTTGTTGTTTCTTTCCCTGTCCATTTTTGCCATTCTAACTGGTGTTAGGTGGTATCTCAGTGTGGTTTTGTTTTGGATTTCCCGGATGG